CCCCCCCACTCTATAGGCCTGCTATCATTTTATAACAATATGATCCTTTAAATGCCCAGAAAGCCTCACTGCTATTTTCAACATATGGGTTAGCAGAGTAGGATTCCCATGTAAAATATGAAGGCTGACTCTCTTCTAGAAGGTGTAATGTTCTTATAAAATAAGTCTCTTTACATTTATTCAACTATATGCAAATTCTTGGAACAAGAATAAATTAAATATTTGGATTTTTGCATAATTTTTCCAATAAAATTATGACACCTTCCTTCATATTTGAGTTTTGTACTATAATCAAAAAGAGGGTCATTTCTGTATAAAATCCAAGAGCTTCACCAATTTTCCCCAGGACCTTTCCTTAGTCCTGTGAGATTGTCACCTAATTCTTTGACATGTCTCCCGTGTTGTAAAGTCCCTTTGATAAAGCCCAGAGGTCACCAACCAGAATCTCTTTCTGTTTTGTGAGTGCTGATAAGAGAATTTGCTGAGGCAGGTGCTGTTTTCCCTTTGATAGGTTCTGTTATGTCTGGTTTTTCAATTACCCTTCAGTAATGATGTCCCCACCACCACCTTTTGATAACAGGCTCATAAATTCCAAGCTTCTTAAGTAGCTTTCTGCTTTTTAAGTACAAACTGTCTTAAATCAGTTCTAAAATATAGTGTTGGGTCCCAAAGAGGACTGGTGCAGAATCCCATTCTGAAGAGACACCAGCTTCTTTTTTGTTCTTCTATGAGAAAACTCTGTTCTTAACTCAGCCCATAATCCTCATGCATGTAACAGATCTACCAGGGTAGGTAGTGAGATGTAGGCATGTTGGACATATTCAGTACAATATCCAGGACTTACTAACCTATGTCTTAGCTGATGTCTGAAATGTTCCTTTTCTTGTCTGAAGACATGCCTCAAACCATGGATTCTCAAACCCCTTTGGCTTTACCCTTTGGATTCTAAGGAGATGTTTCTTATACTTTTGCTTTAGGAATATCCAAGACTATGAGAATGATGGTTGAGCCATAGTTTTAAATATGCTACAGGCTACTATCCTAAATTAAAGCTTCTTTTATTCCAAATGATAGGCATCTCTCCAAGAAACAGATGAAAAAAAAGTACATGCTTCTTACTTTTTTTGTCCTGTCCCCATCGTCTAGTAGTGAGACTTGAAAGTGTTTTAGAAAACCTGAGATGTTTGCACGTAAGTAGAAATAACAGCAGCAAAACCTTCCCCTAAGTTACCCTGGGCTTAAAAACAGAATATAGACCATCCAAGCTACTGACTTGCCTCCGAAGAGTACAAGGGATGCCTTTCTACGATGCAGTGAGGACCAGAGTGTGAAGAAGACTGGACTCATCAAAGATCTTCATGGAAGATAAGGATTCCAAAGATCATGCACCAGTCAAGCTTTCTTTCCAGATGCCACCTCTAAGCACTAACAAAACACGCTCTTTATTACACATTTTGATAAACACACACAAGTCACCCAACTGAAACCTTTAGGAATCTGTAACACAAAAACCATATCTCAGATCTTTTTAAAATTTCACTTTTTAAGTACATTGGACTTCTGGGCAACCTGGCAAGTTAGCATTTCTCTTCCAATTTCTAAGACTTGTGTGCAGATTTGGCAGTTTTTCGTGCTCTGGAGATAAAAGAAAATTACTGTATGGAAAGAGAAGATGTGACCATGTCTAAAAATAGCCTTCCCTATTCTTTGGAATGACTTCACTAGCTCCTCTAACCCAGAACTGCTGACCGCCATCCTTCTTACTTGTGCTTGTAGAAGGCTGAGCCTCCTCTTCATTGCGATGCTCATGGTGAATGAGAGGAGACTGTGGTTCCTGGGTCCGGTTTTCTCCATAATCACTGGTGCCACTTCTGTCCACATCTGTTGTGATGATGTTTATATACACTGTGACTTTTTATCAGCCAATCTTTGATGGTTGGCTCTTCCATTAAAGTACATGATATTTAACAGTTCAGTGCCTGAGCATCTACTATCAATTCTTTTGAGTGACTTCACTAATCTCTCCCAAGGAAAAAAAAAAACTAATATGCATAGAATCTCTTGATGATGACCTGTTATTCCACCATAACCACTTTCTCAAGGGCAGCGTCATAAACCGTTTAAATATATTCATTTTTATAATGGAGCAACATAAAATATCTTGTGCCCAGGTGGTATGATTGATAAATGACCTCTAAGTTGAACTGAGTATCATCATGGGAGTTCTCTAAGAATTTGTGATGAATTATTAACTAAATTTCTTACTGTGTCCCAACAATTGACCTTTGCAGCATCATAGATTTTGAGGAAAAAAATATCTTTAATTAAGAATGCAGCCCAGCCAGCATGGCTCGGTGGTTGAGAGTAGACCCATGAGCCTGGAGGTCACGGTTCGATTCCTGGTCAAGGCACATGCTTGGGTTGCGAGCTTGGATCCCAGTAGAGGGCGTGCAGGAGGCAGCCAATCGATGATTCTCTCATCATTGATGCTTCTATCTCTCTCTCCCTTCCTTTCTCTGAAATCAATAAAAACATATACATAAAAAAAGAATGCATATCCCATTACCAGTCATCCTTGTGGTTGTCTGAAGTGATTCTTCTGGATTTAAAAAGCCTGGGGTCCATTGATTCCAATCCTGGTTCTGTGTTGGGTGGTCAAAAACCCGTGGTGTGGTTGAAACTGTGATAATGATGATTGAAGTTATTAGGAAAATGGTATTTCTTGAGCCTTCACCACTTGTTTTGTACTTTCCCCCTTCTTTGGTCTATACAGTGAATCATCTATACCAGGTTGTGTAGATGGTTGAGTGGAAATGGAAGGAGAGCAGAGAGTGCCTTCAGCTTGATTCAGCCATATCGTTAAGCATCTCAGTGTCCTCTGCATTCTGTTATAGAATACATTGGGGTCAGGACATGAGATCTTCTGGAGAAAGTAGCCAAAGAAGCTGCAGCAGGAGGAACAGCAGCTTTGAAAACACCAGCCCTCCACCAAGGATAACCAAAGATGGCAGAGCTTTGCCCATCCATGCAGCGCATAACATCTCTTTGCATTTGAAAGCCCAAGGAATTTGTATCACTGGCAAGTGCGCTACATGTTGATCGTCAGGATGAAGACACAGGTACCTGGAAGTTACACCTTGATGATCGCTTTCTTTCATTAGTAGTTTTGGTGGGGAAAGAAATACTCTAGGCATCCAGAGCTTTCTGATAGGCGATTCTAAGAAAGAATATTTACCTATAAGAGCCATATGACTTAGCTACACATTTCTGAGTATTTAGCAAACACCTATGGTATGCTCATCAAATACAAAGCATTTTACAAGCAAGCCATTCATAGCCAGTGGAAAAAAACCAAGACGCATACATTCAGTAGAAAAACACCATAAAGAACCAACCACCACCACAGCAGCTCCCTGAAAAAAAAGAGGCATACATCCACCAGCACCTGGTAACATCACCCAAAATGATAGGACTGGAATCAGAGACACACCTGACAGAGGGATCATGGCAAAATCAGAATCATTGTCTTCAGTAAAATGGTTATTTGCAAATTCATCCTAATTTTTTCAATCTTTATTTTGATACCCAAATAATACAAAACTCTTTTCAGATCTATACTATTATCATCTCTATTTCACAAGTTAAGGAAATCAGATTTAGAATCATTGACCACATTTTCAAGAAGCACAAAAGAAGTGGCAGTTTTCACACCCTTACCAAAGAAAGAAGGCATCCTGTTGAATTACATGCACAGGTACCAAGCAGAAAAGTGAACTGAAATTGGAAAGTATGCCACAAAGATGAAAAATACCAAGGGATGTTTTCCTCTGGAATGTGCTCATACAATTTATTTTCAGGTTGATCTGTTTGGATTGTGACCCAAGAGCATTTAGTTTCTTGGGAATCAAGACCACTCTTTATTGGTGGCCCCACTGGAAGATGGGGTCACATCCTAAACCCTGGAGACAGTGTAATAATAAAGCTCCAGTGTTTTTGGTTATTTGGTTTTCTTTCTGAAGTTACTAAAAAGAGTTTTCTTGTTCCACAGACTAAGCTTTGCAGAGATGTCCAGGCTAAGATAACCACTTAACAGCTTAGACATAATATATCTAGTTCACCTCAAGGTTTTGTTCTATCAATGTCATATACTTAGATGCCTTCAAGACCTAACCTATTTTTTTGGATCCCTCCCTCCCTGGGTTCTGTCCATTTGGGGATGATACTCTCAGATTAGGATGGACAGAACCCAAGACAGCTCATGTAGCACCCTAAAGGGACACCATCTCTAAGGAAAAGCAGAGCTGTTATGGAATCAGGCTCAGGATTCTCATGCCTATTTAGCAATATCTTAGATCATTACAGGTATGAACAGGAAATTCAGTATCTGGCAGAATATTAGACCAATCATTGCATTTTCTAAAGGACATCGTTCAGCTCAGTTTCCATCTCTGGTCTCGAAAAGTTTCATAATTGTCACAAATTTGGATACTATTATGCAGTGGTTTCACCATTTGTTTTTAATAACTGGCACTGTTTTATTAAAGCTCAGCTGATGTTTGGCCTTTGTTTCAATGTCTTTCTGTTATATTGGTGCCCAATTTGTTTGTTAAAACTCTGGATTTCTTCCCTTGACTTCAACCAGGTTTTGATTAATTAAGACAATTCTTGAGTTCTGATTCCCACTGTTCAAGCCTTTCTAGGGTTTCCTAAGTCTTCCGTTTAGGATCATCTCCAATTTTGAATGAACATCTTATCTTCCCAATCACATTCTCAAGTCCATTGCTTCAATAGATCATGAGTTCCTTGAAGGAAAGAGCTCTGGCTTTTTTTCATCTTTGTGTTCCCAGCACCTAGCACAGTAACTATGCAGTGAATATTTGTTGTAATATTTTACTGTGCCATTTGCCGACAAAGTTTAATGGTTCAAAGAGAATCTGCAGGAGCAGATCACATGAATGAAACAGGAAGGACATGAGGCACTAGGAATTTTTTAAAAGATGCTTTTCCCATTTCTCCTCCAAATATGATTTAGTTTCCATTAAAAAAATCTATTTTTTCTTTTAAAATCTCATCAAGGTATAACTAAGGTGTGATCATAGGCTTATGTTCATTGTTCATATTAACTGTTTCCCAAGAGAGATACTATTGGGAATCACTCGGGTTAACTGGTAAGCCTCGCACAAATGGTTCTACCGTAATTGATTTTTCTTACTGGTGCTGGAGATAAAATCTTCATCATCATCAATGCCTGCTCCAGAATGACTGGGGTGTTTGTCTCTTTCATCTTCACTTTCTTCAGTTGGCTCCCAGCCTGCTGAGATGATATTTGAATCCGTACCTGTTGTGGTGACTTGCATTAGTAGCTGAGCTGGATGCCAAGGAACCCATTTGACAAAGGAAGAAAATCAGGCACAGAGTATATGATGGAATTACCAAGATTACGAGAAGAAAGTGTAACATTTGATGTGTATACCCTCAAATTCTCATATCTTGGTCTCTGAAGCTAGTCTATAGGTCTAAAAACAACTCGCGATGATCTTTACAACTGAACATTCTCTTTAAGAAGTTAAAGAATAAATATAGACACAACTTGACCAAAGAAGTAAAAGAAACAAAAGGCCAATAAACACTCCCCCATGCTTTTAGATATACTTATTAACTTGTTAAACATGTGTCATTAAAGCTAGGATGTCCAGAATAGAATGGAAAGTTTCATGTGTGCTTATTTGCTTTGTCAAGATACCTTCCAAACAACTTTGGAATCTAAACATGTCAGTCATTTCTAAAATCCCTTAGTCGTAGTCCCAATTTGCAGATTCATATTTTATCTTCTCTAGCATCAGCTCACTGTACTGTAAATGCAAACGAAAGCCACACTGCAGTCCCCAATAATACTTTAGCATACAGCAAAACAAAAGTTAGTCAATTGACAGAGAAGTCATTCCTGGCATTTATTAGTCCACCCTTTTAGCTAACCAAAGTAGACTCCTGCCAAGATTTGGAGACATTCTCACTCTTCTCCTTTGGGAAGCAATCACAAGAAAGAAGGAAACTTTCCACCTCTTTTACATGGTGACTGTAGAAGACGTCTCTTTACCGCAAAGGGGTTTCCTGCATTTTGAATCAGATCCATGCTCTCTTTTGTAATGACCACTTGTCTTTTCAGACTGTTGGTACCTACCCCAAGAATAGTTTCACCAATCGAGATTTTCTACATTTTGTTAGCTTTAGCTATGCTATTGTATTTTCTCCTGTAAAGTCAAAAATTTCAAATGACTTTGGTCATTTTAGAATACCTTTCAAAGACAAAAACCCAACCCCTTTTTATAGTCCCCTTATTAGCCTCCTCCTAGGCTATATTAATTTTATAGAGTAGAAAGAAGAAATCTGCTTAATAGTTCTATAAAATCAAACATATAGATCTCATGATCCTTCTAAAGTCACCAAAAACATTTGTGAAATCAGAATGGACTTTAGACTTTGACAGTATCCCCAAGGTCAATGAGAATTATTAAAGACTGTCAAGAAAACATATGGAATAATATAATAATAATAATGCATTACTAGCCATTATTGTGTGAAGATGGTTCTTGGACTCTAATGGCTGAAACAACCATGAAAACCAGTCCTGATCTTCTTGCCTCTTGGTTGCTGTTTTGGGAAATGTACCACTGGTGCTCATCAAAGCTGTTGTAACCGTAATTGAATAGACTGTTGAAAGGTTAGTTATCAGTTCCTAAGAAATAGCATTGTATATGTTTTCACTCTTCTTCTCAGAGAGCTATCTATACTTGATATAGATGAAGGAAAGAAAGGGAAAAGTACAGAAGTTCCATTTCTTTCAGAGGCCCAAACTGGAGTTCATAGAATGTCAGAGATGGAAGGACCTTAAATATCATCTGATTCACGCTGCTCATCTCAGAGATGAAACTTGTGCTGCACAGATCTTGACCAGTCCGAAGTCAGAAGGCTAAACAACAGAGAGGTCTCAAGAGGAGCATGAAAGCTGTCTTTGAATTTTGAAAGGCTATAATGTAAAAGAGGAATTAAATTTTTGTCTGTGTTTGAATTTTGAAAGGCTATAATGTAAAAGAGGAATTAAATTTTTGTCTGTGCTCCCAAATGGCTAACTTGGGACCTGTGGTTAGAATTTCAGGGAGATGACTATTCTTCTAAATGTTGAATTAAAAAATTTAATAATCTGAACTATTCAACAATGAACTTCTTCATGAAGTATTCTATGCCCCACCATCAGAAAGATCACTTAGGAGGAAAGTTGTGTAAGAGATCAAATGATTAGAAGTGTCGGTTGAACTAGACCATTTAAGATCTTCTCCAAATCTGAGAGTCTATGATTCTAAGACCCAGCTCTTCAGAGTCTTAGCCCTTCATCTCCTACACATTCTATCTCGGGCAACCAATATCAACTCCAAGAATTTAGGATATGATATTTCTGTGAGCAATTCCAGACACATAATCCCAGCAATCCCAGACACACAGAAGGATGACACATGAAGTAAAAAATGGGGAAGGGGAAATGCCTTTCTGCTTTTCTCCATTTAGAGTCCAAATCTAGCAACCTTGCCCATGGTCATGTTTTATATCAACACTATATTCTGCAAAACAGAGCAGGACAGTTTGAGTTCCCGCTTTTGAAAAGAGAAAAATCAATCAGGAAAGAGAGATGAATTGACACAACCATCTCACTAATAAAACCAGAAGCAAGATTTCCGATTTGAAAACTATTAAAGACTGCCATTTCTGTAACTGTGATGTGCATCAGAAGAATATTAGATAATAGATTTTAAAAAAACTAAAAAAAGTTCAAGCAGAGAGACTGAAACCATCATTAAATTCCCAAATACAAAAGAAAGGTGAATTAGATTCCTTTTTTCAACGATCAAGAAAATCCAGAAATGACCCAAAGTGAAACACTGACAAGACCATTTCCTTCACAATGTTTGTCCTATGAAGATAAACATTTCAAACACTTAAAAATAGCATATTCTTTATTCTGCAGTATCTATCTCCTTCCCTCCAGCCCTCTCTTCCTCCAGCATTATCTTAATCACTATGATATGCAATCATAACATCAGCACTATTTTCCTTACTTGAGCATTTGTTGAAATAAAGAATGTAGTTTATTCAATGTCTTACAAGCTAAGCATATGTGAAGGACCATTTTTATTACTCTCCTTCTGCTGAAAGAATACCTAATTACTTTGAAATATGACCATATCCTCCATCAACAAAATTTAATAAATGAAGAGATGCTGTAATCTCTCATTATTATAGACTTTGAATCTTTTCCCACAACAGCTCTCAGGTCAAAATATTTTGTAGGAACTTAGGGTTAACAGTCAAACACCCAGGGAGCTTGTTAGAGGCCTAGGTTCTGATGTAAAGCAACAGGTCACTTCCTACTCTTTGCAGTTGAGGTCTTAGATGTCCAAACAAGTGTCCCAGGCCCACACTTTTCATCTGAAAATTAATATTTCTATTATTATTGACTGTGATAATTAGCAGAAAGCAGGAGTATGCATTTTCTAATAGACTTTTTTCTAGAGTACTTGTTCTGAGTCTCCTAATGGAAAAAGAATTCTGATTATTTGGCTTGTTGCTGAAAGGAAAATCAGAAAGACACTGAAGAGTATCCACTCGTATCCTGGATCCATAGGCCTCTTTGATAAGTGAGACGGTACCAAGATCCGTAGGCCTCTCTGATAAATGAGATAGTACCAGACCTTGCTCTCACTAACGATCCTGACAGAGCATCAGTAGAAAATGATAACGGATGTCCCTTTCCTCAACACTGGAAGGCTTGGCATTCAGGACAACAAATAAGCAGAAGACATATGAGTTTGCCTGTCATTGCTGCTGTTCAATCCCGAGTCTTAGGCTGTGACTAATCATAACAGGACCATATCCAGTTTAAGTGCTCCTGAGCTGCTGCATGGCCGTTTGAGTGCACAGTTGAAATAACTGACTCAATTATGGAAATATTGTTTAGTGACATCTTTCTATAAAGCTTTTATTCTCAGTTCTGTCTATACATAATGTCTGTATCTATTGTAGAATGAAGATTTTGCTCAGAGCAAAATCAAGTAGCAACTTAAAAACCTGTGACGGAAAGAGGTTTTATATTTCCTTGACTGGGTGACTTGGCTGTGAACTGAAGGTTTTCAACTCAGAATTTCATAAAGTTGTTTTTATTCATCTATTTTTAGAGCACCTTTAGAGGTGTGCCTGTATCTTTTGGGTCTACCATTTTACCCAGGTAGCTTGTGATGACAACTGGCCTTTGAAAGCTCCACTAACACTTACTAACCTTATCAACTTTACACTTTATATAAGTCAAGCAGGGGCTTTGCAAAAGGTGTGTGTTTAATGTGTTGAAATCAGATCTCAAGCATCCATCCATCACTTTCTGTCACTTTTAATTCTAATTCAAAATGTGCTTACAGAAAAGAAACAAAATTTTCTCAAGTTAGGGAAATTCTGGACTCAGTTCAAATTAGAGAAAGGATAATTGGTAATATTCTACCATTTCAAATCTCTCATTTGACTCTCAAGTTGGGCTGAATCCAAAATGTTTCCCTCAAGCCCAACTTGAGAGTCAAATGAAGAATGGCAAAGGTGATCAGGATAAACAAAGGTGATCAGGATAAACAAAGATCACCAGGCTAAACATCTAAACCACTTGTGAGTTTAAAAAATCATGTTGAGTCACACACCCCTCTGGAAAATCTGATAAAAATTACGACTTTTTTCCTCAAAAGAGCGATCCTACACATACACATGCTCAAAATTTTGCACACTATTTCAAGTGGTCTTGTATACATTATGGGCAGTGATTGAACCTATCAGAAGTCCATGAACTGCACGTTAAAAACTCTGACTCTATACACACCAAATGTCAACCACCTGTGCAATATATTCTATGCTACGAAGGACACATTTGCTCAGAATAAAGAGTAGAGAAATAGGAGCCAATTTCACCAATGATGCCCTGAGATAAACCTGAGCATTCCCTGGAAAATTCACTGACATCCCGTTCTCACCTCAGAAATTTATTAAAGATGCACAACTCATGTTACCCTCACCCTATAGTGCACCAGGAAGAGGCCAACTGGAAGTAAACATACAGGAGCAATATAGAAATTGGCGTTATTTCTGTCTTCCTGAAAGGAGTTATACGAGATTTGGGGGGAAAGGAAAAAGCTATTGCCTAGCCAGCAGAGTTTCCAATTTTCCCCACCCAAGTAAGCCATGCCAGACCAAAAAATAAATAAAAAAGAAAAAAATTACATATAAACATATATATATTTCTTTGACACCCAGAAGACAAGGAAATAGAGTGCTCCCAGGCAGGAGTCTGTTTCCTGGATTAGTATAGGTTTCTGGATCCCAAAGAATTCCAGATCACTGATAGAAATGAAGCTGATGACATGCTTCCAGGAGGGCTCTTCCAAAAATAACACTTGAATAAAAAGTTTGCTGGAAATCGAAACTTAACCATATGGTTGTTCTTATTGGCTTTCCCCACTGCCACCCACTAAGGATCCTTAAGGAAGGAATGAGCCAGCCACGCCAAAGAGTGATTCTGGGTACTCGGCCAACCCTCCTCTTGACCTCTGCCCTCCTGCATGCATTAGAGATGATTTGCAATCACTCCCTCTCACTAAGTTCCAACTCTCAGTCCAACAGTCATGAGGTTTTGAGAATCTCCTCACTGGGTTTGGAAACTATGGTCTATTCAGGAGCTCATCAGTGCTTTTTCCAGTACGACATATGCCACTTTCAAGTTTCCACCTGATTGTTTTCTTTGACACTCTTCTTTGAATGCATCGGTTTATCTGGAGCCACCATTGGCCTAATTGGATCCGATAGCACTTCAATGACTCTCAGGTTATCCCTGGACTCACTCTGGTGGGCAAATGAGTCTCTCTTTTCCTTAACTACTAAAGAAACTTAGCTGAGTGCTCTAGAAAGAGGAAAGCACAATTCCTTTCTCAACCCAAATCCTGAACTATGTTTCAGTGAAATCTCATAGCACACCTCTTCCTTGATTCCTGAACAGAGCAGAGGCTCCATGAAAATAGGTCCAACTCTGAGTCCTCAGTAACTAGGGCCATGTCTGGCACAGAGAAAGACCTCGAATATTGGTTGAATGAATGACTCATTAGTAATGGTTTACTAATCCTTACTTCTCTTGTAGAGCACACTCCAATGGTGTTTTCTACTGGGTCCTAAACATTAGAATAGGCGTGGTACATAGTAGGTCTTCAAAATTTGTTTGCTGACTAACAGGCAAGAAAAGTGCAGTCCTTAAAAGATGTGCTATGAGTGTTCAAAAAATGTGCTGATTGGTTTTCTTAAAGCACATGTGAAACACTATTTTATATAAACTATTAGCAGCTGGAATGTTAACGACAAGATACATTTTATCAGGATTTTCTTCTTTGGTGGGAAATAGTATTTTAGGGTAGAGCTGATCTGCCTCCTGTTGAGACCAGTAATTGTTGCCTGTCAGCATCTGACAAAACTGAGTGCCCTGATGATAGGCACCTTCAGCACAGCCACTTTTAAAGGGCAGGGAAAGCAAGGAGCAGCAAGTAGCCAGCAGCACCCTCAGCTTCGTCTGCAGAAGCTTCTCTCAAGAACGGTTGTCCAAGGATTACAAACAAGGAGTGCCAAACAGCTGGCTCCAGAGAGCCCATACTCCAGGAAAGCCTGGGCAATTTGCAAGTATCTGCTTTTTGAAGTGCTTCAAAGAGTCTGCAGGGGGTGACCAGAACTCCAAACCTATGTGTACCACTCACTGGGCAAGCTGCTCATAGAAATTTAAAGGACAGTCGAGCAAGTAACCTCCTATTAAATCATTGTGCTCTGGAGGTTTTCCTGGCTTCTGGGTGATGAGGGATAGAAAAGGTCCCAGTCTCAAGCATTTGCAAGTGAATTTCTGCCGCACTCTGGAGGCCAGAGTTCCACCCTGAGGAGCCGTGGCCAGGGAAAGAGCAAATCCGCACCATACTAGGAAAGTGGCTCACGAGGCAGGCGCCCTGTTTGAGGTTGAATAATCCTCCACGCAGGAACACAGCCAATCTGGAAACATTTCTTTAAACAAGCCCCGGGAAAAAGCAAAGAGGGAAGCGAAGGAGACAGGAGGGAGATGTAAACACTTCCCAATGCAAGCGAAGCACAAGGCGCCCAACCCAGAGAAGCCAGAGGCATCGGTTACTGTTCCCACCCTCGCGGTCCCCAGGCAGTGACCCCCACGAACCGAGCAAGTGCTAAGAGCCTTCCCCTAGGGGCTGGGATAGGAAACTCTTAAGCAGATTTCATTTGACCAGAGAACTCCTTCAGCTATGTTTCCCTAGACCAAAATCAAAAGAATTGCTCAGTAAATCACGGGTGACGAATCTTGCGCAATCGTATACAGTCAATGAGTATAAATCAGGTTCAAAGAGAAAAACATGAAGCTGAGTGAAACATAAAGGAGCTGATGGAACACGTACATCTGATGGGATCCCAGCTTATGAAAAGAGTCTTATCCAGAGGTGGGTAAGAACCAGAAGGAAACATGCAAAAACGAGAACAACTTCTGTATCAGGCTTGACATGTCACCATACCCCTGGGACAAGAAAATAAGGAATCTATAAAAACCTTTCAACATGGCACTTCTTACCCCAAGGTAAGAAAAACAGAGCTGCGGGTAAAAAATAAAGAATGGTCGGCGGTGGCGGCCAGTGCACACAGGGCGCTGACGGCCACGCAGGCCCCTCCCCACGCGACGTCCCCAACTTCGAGGGACAGGAGACAAGCTCCGTGGGAGCGCGTATCACTGAAGGACAGGCGTGTTTTGGCAAATGACTCGCTACTGGAAAGCACAGTGGTTCATTCTCCTTACTGGTAGCGTGGGATTCGTCTGGGTAGCTGGACACGTGGGGACTGTCTTGGTCTGGGGTCGGGTACGCAGTTGGAAAGTGAGTGTGGAAGATGTAATTTCCCACAGTGCTTCTGTCACTGGCGAATCCGCTGTTCATGTCCTCCTCAGTAGTGTTGGTGGCGTTGATGTCATCAGGGTTAGTTCTGTATTCACCTTGCTGGGTGTAGCGGGTACCGTCCCGGTTAACAATACCTGGGAGAGAGAAGGCACTTTTAGAACATGACAGCGGACACTTTCTGAGTCTAGAAAAGACTGAATCATCATATCAGACAGTGACCGNGTGTAGCGGGTACCGTCCCGGTTAACAATACCTGGGAGAGAGAAGGCACTTTTAGAACATGACAGCGGACACTTTCTGAGTCTAGAAAAGACTGTGAATCATCATATCACACAGTGACCATAAAGCTACTTTTCTTTTATATGAAGGAAAGCAACACCTACCACCNTGAATCATCATATCAGACAGTGACCGTAAAGCTACTTTTCTTTTATATGAAGGAAAGCAACACCTACCACCTATCTAGTGGGGGGATATGTGGCCGAAGCGTTGAGAAGAGTGCACCCTGCCCTGCCCACTCGTGCGCCTTGGAAATGGGGAGGAGAAGAGAAGCTGTGTTTGGGAGTCCCTGTGTTGGAATTCCAGTTTTGTGTGGCTCTGGACAAGGTAGGTAACTCTCTGAGCTTCAGTTTTTTTCCTTTGTAAAATAGGGATAACACTGCCTTCTGTTATGAGCACGATGTGATATTGTATGTAAAGTGCTTAGCACGGTATTCAAAGTATAGTTGATGATCAGTAAATGATCAATCTCCTGCCTGGACAATACTTTTCCTTCTCAAGAACATGTAAAATTTGTGCTATTCATTCCACCTATTTCCAGAGAGAACATAAAGTAGGAGACAGAGAGGCTATTAGAGGCAGCAGGGAATCTATATTCACAAAGCCAGGAAGAATTAGCTTTTCTCTCTGGGGCCAAATTTTGTCAGCGTAAGTGAATCCCTGCTCCTGGCTAAGAAATTAGCATGCCTGAGTACTGAAAAAGCCTCAGTCATCCTTTGAGAAATCAACCTTGAGAGTAAGAGGCACAGATGTATATTAAGATCAAAATCTTTGGTTTAATCAAGAAAATGACTAGAACGGACAGGAGGAGAAAAGGCAAGGATGAATTCATTCATTGGTCCTCCCTAAAAGTATCTGTTGCCTTCAAGTCTGGGCCACTCACTGCCCGGGTATGCATTTATCTGAAATTATTTTCTGCTGTATTGCATTGGTAGGACTAAAGATTCCTTTTGTTCACCCACCTAGCCTGTCCAAGTGGAACTCTTCAAAAAACATAAGTTTAAAAACATCCCAAAGTCTCAATCATCCTGATAATATCTGCAGAGGAGAATCTGATAAGAAAATATGATCAAATTTGTGCAGCTCTGGATTTTAAAAGACATCCGTGAGGACTGAGGAAGTGGGACATTTCTTGAGCATCTACTATGTGCCAGGCATGCATTAGACATATTTTTCTTATTTCTCATTTGTTGTTTCATTACCCAGATGAGAAAATGGAGGCTCAGAGAGAGTCAGCCATTCCCCTAAGTTCACCCAGGCAGTAAGGAACTAGGATTGAACACGAGGCATGACTGAGACAGCACCTCTCACACTTCAGGCCTCCACTCCCTCTTGCAAGGCACAGGCCAGGGACAATTCCCTACGTAACCGTTCGGGCTGGATTTGTATGGTCTAAGAAGATTCTTGTCCCCCTGACACTGTCACCGCTGTCCTCGTGCACACTGAGGGGTCTGGCTCTTAGCAGGCAGACATTAGGCCTCAACACTGGAATACTTCTCAAAGAAATGAGGCTCAGAGGCCATAAGATCAGAGTTAATAAGTCAACCTATTTGAAAGTTTTGATTGAGATACTCTGTTTTCTGCAGTACCAGATGCCTACTTCTGGGGGTCACGTTAGGTGAACATGGTATAATGTTGAATCACATATCAGGAAGTTTATACCCTTTATAATTATCTTTCAATATTCGTTAAATCAAACATAAAAACTTAGGGCCCAGAATGCCCCTCCCCTACCACTTAATAATCCCCCTCTATCAGAGAGACTACAGCTCTCAGAGCCTTCAGCTGCTAGAATTTAAGAACATTATTTAATTTTCCCTACATTTACATTTATTTTTAAGGTTACCTTCTAATTATGACCAGGGATGTTGGCTTTTCATTTGCAGGTTTTTTTTTAAAAAAATAGATGTATTCTAAGTAGGAAAGAATGGGTCAATTAAATGAAAAATATCAATAATAGTGTTGTGTGTCCATAAAAGTACCAAAAAAAAAAAAAACCCAAAAAAGTGAGAGTGGTTTTCAAGTGACTGAAGTTTGAGGAACTGTGCATTGAGCTAAACCAATAGCAGGGTTAAGCCATCACAGAAAAAGAGGAAGAGACATTGAATCATAGCCAATGTGCCCAGCCTTAGGGAAATAACTGCTATTCTAGTCAAATATAAAACATTGGAAATATACTTGATCCCTTTCCCAAGACCAAGGAAACTCAATCAGGGTTGGAAAAGATACCTACTTATGCTAACTTCTCCATCAAAAGCGTTGGGCAGGTCTGTAACTGAGGTACAATCTTCTTCGCGTGGTGCTATAAGGTAGAAAAGAAAAAAGGCATGAGAACTCTGAAAGATATGAGCAAAATCGATTCCCATTTCTATTAGTTAATTAGGATGGAGTTATATTATAACTTATCCCAAATAGCTTTCTTTTTCTGAAACTTGGTTAAATCCCCTGGGAACTTCTCTGGCCTTTGTGATATATTTTCCATTCTTATTTAAGCTTCATACATTTTTTGGAAGCTCACTTGTCCCTCTTCCACCCCAACAAATTCATTCGTTAACAAATATATATGTTCTATATCTGGCATTGTGGAAGCCTGGGGTACGAAATGAGTAAGGTAGGCATGGTCCTTCTCTAATGAAGCACACATTAGAGTTGCTTGTTGGCAAAGAGCAAGGAAGAAAAGGAAGGGTGGGTGGATGGATGGATGGATGGATGGATGGATGGATGGATGGACGGATGGATGCAGGCAGGCAGAATGCTATCACAAGGAAAGCTATTATCACAAGTATTTTAGGTGTCCTGCCATAAACCATTGGGTGCTCATAACATTAGACAAAATCACAAGTTGAACAAAATAGGGTTTGGTTGTTGCCCAGTTCCTAGGAGCATCTTTTCCTATAGATAGAGGGGATGCCCTTTACCTGCCTATTTCTTTGGCCTCAGAATGAAACTATGGCAGCTTTATATAGTCAACTAAAGAAAAGCAGGTTTTAGGAAAAGCAATTCTTTCAAAGCTGATTACAAGATTTCTCAGAAGAGAGACTCTTCAAAGAGAAAGTTGCCTTCTTGGGAAGGCTGTTCCTCACCATCCAATGTAAACCACTCCCCCATACCCATCACCAGCATACATCGTCTGCTCCATTTCTTCCTCAGGCTTACCACTATCCAAAATTATCTGTTCATTTTACTCCATGGATGCTCATGGCACATCCCCTAACCCCTACCACCTGCTACATATCCACCTCCATAGAAATGTTTAAGGTCCACAAGATGAGTAAGAATCTTATCTGTCTTGGCCAGATACTGTGGGATGGGAACAGAGAAGTACTCAATAAATATTTGTTGAATGAATGAAAAAGGAAAAAAAGCCTATTCTCCAATAAGTACACCTAAGATGTCAACCCCCAAAATGGTCCGCAAATTTAAACAGATTAAAGAACATTTAGATAAATGCTGAATGGCAATGCCATGAGAAATAATGAAAGGAAGTTCCAGATATATCAGTTCATTTAATTACTTTAAGCATCTACTCAACACATATGACAGATCGCATTAAAAAAAGAAGCAATAAATAAATAAATAAATGATCTTGTCCTTGCTTTTGAAGAATTCACAAGGTCATGGGGGAAGATAAAAATTTATATTTCTTTAGATTTTTACAGTTTTCAAAGTATTTTCCTAATAAATCCCTCATATAAAAGTTAGGGCAAATAGCCAATCTGGGCAATCTTGAAAAGTATCTGCCAGTCTGCCTTGGGGACACCACCAGAAACTGGCCTGACCTGTGACATGCTTCTGATATAGCAACATTGCACAGACCCACAAACAGACCTTGGATTGTAAGTCCTTGATGTCAGGAATGGAAGAACACCCCCAAATTCAAACATAACCGCAGATAACAGTAGAGTGGACTGGGAATTTCTAGGAATTAAATTGTAATAGAAGGGGGCTTGATGTGAGAAACTCTAAGAGAGTTTTGTAAATGATTGGAGCTTTTGTTCAAATGGATCCTCTTCATGCTCCAATTCACCCTAACTTTTATAAAGAACATCAAATCTGGCAAGCATACTAAGCTGGATGGTGACCCAAAGTGCAATCAGCACATTCACGCTTCCAAGACAGATAGCAGGGCCTCATTAGACGGCCTTTCATTCTGTTTAATGAGCATTGCCTTGCTGGGAGAATCAGGCCTGGTGTGGCTTTCCTGAATGTAAAGATTTGTCAGGAAGGCTCTAAGGTGAGCTTCCTGGTGAGCTGCATCTCAAAACCTTGCTTTCAACGCAACAAAAAAGCCAAGAGAAACGTTAACTATTCAGGTTAGCCCATCACTCTGTGCCAGATAGAAAGACACCTTCCTCGGTGCCTGATACATTGTAGGCATCCAGTAAACATTTGTTCAATAAATGACTGAACGAATAAACAAATACAGAATCGTCCCTAAATTTCTCATTCAAAAGGGAATGAGGTCTTTTATTCAAAGCCAACTTAAAAATAAAAAAAAATTAACTAACTCAAGTTAGCTCTCTGTGTTGTTTACACAGAAGTCACCAGGCTCATGCTGGGCCTTATTGCTGACAGATGAGGCAATAAAAATCACAGAGCCTTTTCAGGGCCTGACTTATTTTCATTTGTAAACCACAGGCTGTGTTTTATAAAGACATTGCTGAAATTGTAAGCATGCAGAAGCTATCTGCTAAGATTGAGCTGGCTTTGGTCCCTGTAACCAGTTTGGGGGGGAGGGGGCGGAGATCACATCACTGAGTCCTGCTGGTAGCTCTCAGGCTGAGTTGGATTCAAGGACCTTTCCAATGAGATCCTTCACATGGAGCAGCAGGTTATCAAGACCTGTCGCTTGCTTTAATAAATACCCCCATCATCTGACTCTAAGCCAAGACAGTTTAATGAAGGAGTTTATCTTTAGATAAACATTCTTCTCAAGCTCCTTCACTTTTTGTCTTGTGGCTTCAACAAGATAAACTCCCAAGATAAGAAATATGCTCCCCGATTCTTTCTCACTCCACTCTGCCCAGCACAGTACTGAGAGCGTATGGCTGATCAATCAACAGACTTTTTAAAATTTAAAGAAAAACTTATAAAAGCAGCCTACCCATATTGAGTAAATTTGGAAAAGAGAAAAAGAAAAATATCACTGAACTTCACTACCTTAGTACAGCCACTTTGGTATGCAAGACACCCCCAGAGTTTGTTAAATTTTTCAACTAAAGTATCTCCCACCCCCCAAAGAAGAGGAAAATGAACTGTATTGTTCACTCCCTTCTCTGAGGACAGGTCCAACCTTATGGACAAAAAAAGGGCAGGAAGAAAAGTCTCAGTAAGAAGTTGCCTAGATGGCTTCATTTCCGGGCAATAAATCAATGTGAGCTTCTGTCTTTTTGAATTAAGGTTCAATGTGGATATGCAACCATATAATTTATTGCATACATTCACTTAACCCAACTCAGTGGGAGATGCAGCACGCAGTACCCAGAGTCACTCACGGGGATGCAGTCTGGTGCTAGGTCTTTTCCACATGCCCACCCCCTTCATCTAAAGCACCGTCTTCCCAACTCTTCCATGAGCTCTGGCACTAGGATAAGCTAGCCAACCACGGGTGGCTCTGTGTCTATGTCTATTTCTTACTTATTTGTATGAGGTTTTTCTCATCATGTCACTAGAATGGATGTTCTGTGTATGGGTGTGGGACCTGGGTATGGGCCATGTGCTGTGTAGCCTCAGTTGGACTCTTCCTTCTTACGTTCAAGCTCCATTTGTGTTCTTTGTTTATATGGCAGGGGGGAGTAAATATTCTACAGTTTTCTCCTTATTTTGAGTGGCCCTCCCTAGGTTTAGTGACCTGCATGTAATTTTGGTCACTCCATTTCAACTAACCAGCCTGATCATTTCTCTTTCTCCTAAACTCAACTTTTTCCCTCTGAATTCTCACTCCAATCCCTACTGCTCACGCAACAGTAGGTGGGTGGCATAGCCTAAAGCTACTGATGTAATCTCACATCATCTTTGATGTCCCTACTTTAGCTTAAAAATCCATGCAGATTTTATAGTCTACTTCCATATGTAAAATTTCTGTTTGTCTCATAAAAATAATGCCTTGAGTCATCATATAATATCTGTGTTTGTCTCATATAGAAAATGCCTCAAGACACTTTCCAGTCAATTTAAAGACAGGAAGGATGCCTAAAAGGATGCCCTTCCTGTCTTTAGGGAAAACTGGCACACTAGGTAGATGTGCCAAGTTCACCTGGTGGTTTTATCTTCCCCATTCACATAACCTCAAGCCTTTAGGGGGAACAGAAGGTTCGGTTTGAGAAGTAAGACATTTGATTGCTGGCTTTCAAAAAGTTGACACTTATGGGTTTGACCCTTCTCAAAATACCCTGAAGATTCACGATGCATAGAATTCTTTAGTTCTGCTGGGGCCTGAATTAGAATTGTAAGCACGTGTGTCTAGGCTAGTAGTTGGAAGCGAGTGCCCTAGACAGGGAAGAGGCCTGGCCAGCAGCCCAGCAGGCAAATCTGAACTTGGCTTCCTTGTTCTCTAGCTGTTGGGCTCTCAATTGTTGGGTAGGAACACTCGGCAAGGTCAGAGGCCTACCGTATATCCCCCCAACCTTCTCTCCAGCCCCAACATATAATAAATACCTCTAAGCTAAGCCATTTGGCTTGTACCCCAATGCTATCACTAGATTCATGCCACTCCCCGAAACCCTGCAATGACTTCCCATCACACTAAGAACAAAATCCAAACTCTCAACCACGGCCTTCAAGGCCTCGGGTGATCTGGCGCCTGCTTACCTCTCTGACTTCACTCCTTGGCATCCTCTCCTCCAGTCACTGGGCTTTATTCACCAGCCTCCCTGCTGTTCCCGGAACAGGCCACAGTGATCCCCAACACCTGGCTAGGCACTGGCTCTCCTCTCCCGCATTTCAATCAGGGCTCTCTCCTAGACGCACCCCCTCAGAGGCTCTTTCACTGATCACCTTCTCAGAAAAAAGCATCCCTAGCCTCTCACTCTGCTGTCTTTTTTACAGCTCTTGTCTCTCTCCGACTTCATATAAGGTATTTAATATTTATTTGTTCACTGTTGGCCTCTAGAGACAGGAATCTTGTCTCCGCTGTAGGTATTCACTAAGCGTCTGGAAGCTCCGTGAATCCCCACTTAAGCCGAGATTGAACAGCTCTTGGCCAGGCTGCCGGTGGCTGGCCTTCCAAAAGTGACTCAAAACACAAAGACAGTACACTTGGAACCAACCTGAAGCATTGAAGCAGTACGTGTCATAGTGGGAGTGGTTGGAGGTGACAATGTACACCCCTGTGTTGTTTGCGGCACAGATGGAGTTGGGGTGGATCCGGGGGATCACCACGAGCCCTTCTATGAACCCGTACCTGTAAGAGAAACAGCAGCCGTTATCCACCTGCAAGGCTGTGACGAGTATTTCATCACATCCCATCAAATGCATGTCACGCAGTGCAAGGCTTCATGCAATTCACCCCGAGGGACGTTCAAGGTTTCAACCACTGAGTTAGGTGAACTCCAAAAATAACAGCAGAGGGAGAGTGAAAGGGATCAGCAAGGCTGATCGAGATAAAGTGATTTCATTTAGGGCTCTATAAGAGCTTTTCTTTTCTTTTTTAAGAGATTTACAAAAGAAAAAAAAATTAGTTTCAAATAAAAGTTGTAGTCAAGTCAGCAAGAGGAAGCCCAAGTCACAGAAGAGAAAAGAATGACCACTTTATGATGCGAGATTCACTGTGGCTCTCCACTACCTTCATATTTTTCAAAAACATGCATAAAATGACCAGCTCTCATAAAACAGAATTAGGTGGCTCTTCATTTCAGTGCACAAATGTCAAACCTGCCTTATTTCCCATTCCTGCACTTCTCTCCCCGCCTCACCTTTTCCTGTGATTCCTTCAGTCCAGACTCCGTTACTCTAAACATGGAGCCTTGTTCATATGCCAGATACAAGAGTGTTTCACCTCATGAGCATCCCAGGCATAATTTCATTGCCAGTGGAAGTAAATTGACCGTCATTAAAATACGAGTAACAGTGATTATGTAAGTAGATAGCAATGCCTCATTTAGCTCAGGAATTTTCCAGAAGCACAGCCAGAGAAGCGCCTAAATTGCTCTGCCCCTACCAAGGTGTTTCTGGAAGCACATTGGAGCTGGAGGCCCTTTCAGATACAACATACAGCACTCAGCCTCTTCTATCAGCGTCATGGTGCCTAAATACTGCAAAATTTCTCTGGAATATAAATGCCTCAAAAAAAAAGAAAAAAAGAGAGAGATAGGCTGAGAAAATACCATTTGCAAGGGATGAGGTAGTGGCAGGGGAAGGGCAGAGAGGGAGATGCTAAATCCAGCAGGTTTCTGAAAAATGCAAAGCTGGCTAAAAGACCCAGCCTAGATCCTTTTAATCTCTCCTGCCAGCGGCAACAATAGTGCATTGCCCTGCAAGACCCGTGAAAATGGCTGTGAGTTTGAAATTTCGAAGCACTTAGAACTAATCACGCCTATGTTGCAATTGTAGCTTGCATGACTAATTCTTCATCTAAACCGACAGACTGGTTTCTCCCAAGACTCCTCAGCTTGGTGAGGGGAGGAGTTGCAATTAAATGTTAGTAAGTTTCCATATATCTGAGAATTGCTACTAATCGGGGTGAGGCAGACAGGCTAAGGTTTTATCATAGCCTGAGACTGCTATCTGCGCTATGGCACATCCCTGATTCATAGCTACCTGAGTGAAATTATGGAAATGAGTTTTGCAATGCTTAATTCCAGCAATGGGTGGAACAATACATTTCTTGGGCATCACTTTTCTTTTTTCTTTTTTTTTAAAATGATAATACTGGCTGGTGAGCCTACCCCCATCCCACCCTTACCGCATGCACCAAGTCTGTATAACACTGACAATCTAGAATCTACATTCAATTTGTAAGTTATTCCTGAGTTTTTGCCACTTTGTGTCGACGGCCAATGTTGTGTGTCTCGCTGTATGTGATTTGAGGATATTAAAATTATATATGTGTATATATAGACACATATATATATATATATACACACACACACACATGTGTGTGTATGTGTGTGCATGAATAGGTTGCTCTTCACAGGCAGAAAGGAAATACTCAGCAAATCCATGCATCATACTTGCATCTCTCTTTTGCCCTGGGCTCAGATGAACCAGGACCTGAATTTGGACTCCTCCTCATGCAAGTAAAGTGGCCCAGGGTGAGCTGGGGAACTTCTCTAAGCTTCTGTTGCTTCATCCATAAGTGGGGTAAGATCATCAACTGTGGTGCCCTTTGAGGGTTAAGTGAGGGGTGTGGGCAAGTGCCCAGCATCTGTGTGCTTGCTGATTGGCCAGTGGAAATAGTAAGAACTTCCTTCTTTTTTGGCATATGGAAACATTTCTATATTTTGTAAGTATGCCGTGTCTGCATTTCACAATCAAAATTCAGCTTACTAAATCCACTTTGTTAGTGAATTTCTCTTACCGACTTAGTCCAGGCCGTATTTAAGCAATTAGCCTTGGGAATAGAATCAATGGATCTGCTGATTGGCCTTCATTGCAGACTCCGGCTTAGGGCGAGCAGCTACCAGGGCTCTCTCCCCTTCTCTGCTCCTTTTGTGTTCTCCCAGGTGTAGCTCTGAACGCACACAGATGTCTTCTACAGCTGCTCTTTGTTCTAGAGCAATGCTACCCAATAGAATAATCACGGACGCGGTCTGTAATCAATGTTGTCACATACAGTAGCCACTAGCCATGTGTGGCTAGTTGAGCACTTGAAATGTGGCTACTGTGCCACTGAAGATCAAGTTTTTAGCTTCATTTCATTTTAGTTAAGTGTAGATCACCACAGGTGGCTAGTGGCTGCCCTATGAGATGTAAAGATTTTCCTTTTCCTGTACATCAGGAGCCTCAGCTAGCACGCGTACAGTGGGTGCCTTACTCTCTAACCAAGGGCAGGGGGTCGGTGTACTGAATATTCCTATTCACATTACATTGCAAAAGCACAGAGGGGGTAGCCACAGGCTGGGATGGAAACTTAGCAGTTGCTCAGATGACTCAGAGTGCTTCTAGTGAAAACCACTTCACTGTGGTCGTCACCACTCGCCACAGGCCCAATGGAAACTCAAAACACACACACACAACGCAAAGTCCACTGCCTGCTGTGATTGTCCTCCAGAGTGTTTGAGGAAAGCTCCATGGAGCATGGATATCCACAAAAGCCTCTCAAGAGGCCTTTCTGAGTCCCTCCCATTGTTTCCCAATCATTAGTAATTTGTCTTAATAATTTTCGTGCTCCCCACTCCCTTTAACCCTCTCAAACCAAAGCAACATAGAAGAGAATCACAAGCACAGAGAGAGAGAGTTGTTTGAAAAACCTGCTTCAAGCCGTCTGCAGGGCCTGGACCCCATATTTATTCTAAACACTGTTATTTTGTTTACGTTTTCTTGTGGTTCCGACAATAACATTGCACGTCTCTTCAGAGCCAGGAGAGCGCCTTGTGGAAGCACTTGAGGCAACAGGACTCCAGAGGCCGACCCTCCAGGGCCTCCTCCGGGCAACCCCGCAACGTCGCAAAGGTGTCTTTGGAGGGCTTTGAACCTCAGCTGCCCCGCAGGCTCCTGAGCGGCCCGGCCAAGGTAAGGGGTGGGGCCGACAGGCAATCATCCAATCAGCTGCCGGGGAGGAGCCTAACCGGCTCAAGCCCCGCCCCTAAGGCAGGAGCCCCGAGCGCCGCGGAGGCCCGCGCGGGTCCCTTACCTGCAGGTCTCAAACCCCACTTTCAGGGCTTCCTCCATCTGGGCCATGGTGGGCAGGGTGCAGTCGAAAGCCTTGCAGAGGTCAGCTGCCTCGGTCCGTGAGATGCTGTAGCGACCATTTTTCTCCACATGGAACACACCCGCGTACCGGCAGGTTATATTCAATTCTATGGGATGAAACAGAAATGTTCATAGTCTTTTGCATAAGTGATTTGGGAGAGGGAAGAAGTTTGTTTTGGAGCAGCCTCATTAGAAAACCAAATACAGTGCTCTACTGGCCAGAGCCTTCAATATCTGCTCCAACATTCCAGGGCACCACTACCTCAAGCTCAAATCTGAGATAAGACATTCAAGTCGCATCACTCTGACTTCCTCTCCATCAACTTCGGCACAACAAGTGTTTCTAAAAGCATATGACTGGGAGCGCTCCTAAGCACTTTGAGTTTGGTGCTGCCTGACCTTGAGATCGATGTTTGCTCAAATAAACTCTTAAAATGTTGAATGAGCCTCAGTTTATCTTTTAATCCCGGTGACACTGCAAAACGGTACAGCCACTTTGGAAGGCTGAGGGTTTCTTACAAAACTAAGCATTCTCTTACTCTATGATTCGGCAATCACTCTCCTTGGTATTTACCCAAAGGAGCTGAGAACTTACGTCCACACAAAAACCTACACACAGATGTTTATAGTAGCTTTATTCATAATTGTCAAAATTTGGAAGCAACCAAGATATCCCTCAGTAGGTGAATGGAGAA